AAAGAGTCATGTTAAATATTTTTTCTTTTCAAGAAATTAAAGGGAGACACCTCCAATATTTTTAGAAAATATTTTTCTTTGTACCAATTGCATTCATTATGTAATTTAAAAACATGTGAATATTGAGTTTACATAAAAAAAAATCGTACTTCAAATAGTTTCTTTGCATGAATAATTTTTCTAAATTATCTTTGTTGAGATGATTTTCTTTGAACGTAATTTTCTTACTTATTTTTATTTATAAAAGCAACATGATATAAATATATCATAACTTTGACTCATTGGCTTTCCAATTGATAGGAGATTGACACCACCTACCACAAGGCTTCGTAAAGTACCATATGTCGGAATTTGACTCATCGATAATATTTTTAATGAACTTTTTCATTGAAAATCTCTTATTAAGCTAAATTCTTACGGGACATTTGTTGAAAATCAATAATTTTCTGTTAGTTAAATATTTTTGGAAAATAAAAATTGTTCACTTTTGATAAACTTAATAAATTAAAACTATTCAAAAGGATAATGAAGAGAACACTTTGAACCCACCCCAAACATAATGACCATTTTTGTTGATTTCTCACAAATAAGTTGTTGCTGAAAAATTATGAGTTAACTAGCATATAATCATACTTTAACTAAATATAAATTTAAGAAAAATAATACACAATTTTAATAATGTTCGACTTTATCTAATCATCAAACTATTTAAGCAAAAGCAGAGAAAATTTTTACTACGAAAAAGACGAACCTCAATTTTTTATGTTATTTTACTTCTCGATATATTTTCTAAAATATAATTATATGTTGGTTAACTCACACTCTTTATAACATAAAGTAAATAATATAAAAAATGAGATGCATAGACCTACTAATGTATCTCACACTTAAAAAACATAATTATAACTTCAAAGTAGCTAGGCAATTAATTCTATATTTTCTTCATTGTTAGGTAACCATGATTTGCTTAGTAAATAATTAAATATAGAATTTTACTATTTCTAAGTAAACTTGAGAAAATTTATATACGTATAAAAGTACATCTTCCCATATTAATAATTATTTTACAATACGTAGATATATACAACTTCCTACCTAAATCTTAAAATAATATTATAGTGCACAACCATGCTTATACTATAGTCAATACCATAATTATTCAATTTGATAGATTGCAAACCTACCAAATCAATAATTTAAATAACTATTTAATTTATTGAGTTTTATAATATATTAAGTGTATCATTCATTACTAACCATCAAATGATGTGGGGTAATGAATGTGACTGTTTTTTTCTTAACTAAAGGTTTCAGATTCGAGTTTTAGGTATGAAAAAAATTAGGGAGCGTTTCTCTCGAATGGGGCCTACGCATTACGAATGTGAAATAGTTGTGTTCCTATGCGGATACCAGATATCGGATAAAAAAAAGTATCATTACTACAAAATATAAAAAATTCAAGTTGACTTGAATATTAAAAAAATTGTAAAGAAAAGTGCATATCTAGACCAATATGTTTACATTGGTTCAATTTTCAAATTAGTTAGACCTTTGTTTTCCTTGTCAAATTTTCAAATAAAATAATTTCTTCAATCAAAATTATAGGGAATATTAGTTGCAGCTCAAAAGTTTATTCTTCTTTGAGCAATAGGTAAAATTTCATTTCTTTTAATTATCAAGGCAGAAAAATAAATAAAAATCTGTCAGTAATTTTTTCATAACTTATCTCTAAATTAAACGATCTTTATAAGTTTATAAAAGAGGATCTTGATATACTTTCTTTAAAAACGGATGTAATTTTTATTTTTTTGATAGAAGTATTGAAAACATCTTTAAACTCGGTATGAATTATTAGTTTCATCTCCGAACTATTGACAACCTTAAAAACACCCGGTTACTTGACTAGTTGAACTTCAATACACCTTCGATCTTGCAACATGAGTGAAATACACCCCTAAATTATCGTCAAGTTTAGGGGTGTTTTCAACACTTCTCATTAAGAACCTCATGCTCCTACAAGAGTTTGAGACCACTTGCTATGACATGTGACATATCGAAATTGTATCAAAGTTTAGTCAATCAAGTAGAAAGACGTTTTTAAGGGTATTAATAATTCGGAAACACAACTAATAATTTGCACTAAGTTCAGAGCGATTTTCAATACTTCTCTTTTTATTATAGGCCATTTTTCCTTTCAATTTTTTTACTTTAATCTCTAATTTCCTTTTTACTCCTAAATTAATTTTTAATGAAATAACCATTAGCAAGAAATAAAAAAGTGACAGAGAATTTGCGTCATGATCAGTGGCAAAGGTGTAAAATTAGTCAACGTGAAGGGTAAATATGGAATACGACATCCTGACAACAATTCCCACTATGAGCAAAACTCAATTTGCTGACTACAATTTCTGACTTTTTCATTTTAAAAAATAAAATAAAAAATAAGAATATATAAAAATAAAATAATATGTAATAAAATAAAAAGAAAAGAGACAAAGTACAAAACTTAAGAGGTCCCTAGATATATTGCGCCCACTGAAAAGTAGGTTGCTTTACAAATAATCCACCTCTTTCCAGAAAAAAATAATACAAAAAATAAATAAATAAAAAATTATGTACTTTAAACAATATTTTTTTACCAACAAAAAGCTAAAATATAATAAAAGTTAAAAGGAAATCATCATTTTACGTTTCTTGTTTAGGAAAAAAAAACATTAGATTTATATTTATAAAAAAGATCTTCTATGAAAATTAGAAAAAATGTTTTTTATTTTATTTTGGGATAAGACATTACAAAGAGTATAATTTTCGAAGTTATTATCTTCAGAAAATCGTTAATTTTAAATTTGTCAAAATTTTCTCCTCGATGAGGGATTTTCAATTGAAAATTCGTTGAAAACAATACTGACAAGGTAAATTTTGATTATTTTTATTGAAGATTTATCGATTTTCAATTAGTATATAGTTTAATACACACATAAAAATAAAATCTGATTTTTTTTTTATGAAAATAAGTATTCATGTGGATTGTTACTTCCAGATTAGATGAATAATTGAATTATACTTGATTAATTATATCACTTATTTCTACTGTTCAAATATGAATATTTTGCATAGTCATTCTCGTAATAAATATTCACGTGGATTCTCACTTTATGTATTTTTTTTTTTTAAAACCATATAACTAAAATCTCATTAAAGTTGTTTATCAGAGTAATTAGTGTCCTATCTTTGAGGTATCTTTTCTAAATCATGAGAGATTATGATGGAGTGTGTATATATATATATATATATATATATATATAGATT